AATGCTGCTCTTCAGCAAAGGCAGACGGAGAAAGCGACAAGCAGCCTCTCCTCCGGCACCTCTGTGAATGGCAGAGCCCGAGCTCCAGCGGCTGGGGCTGCGGTGGAGAAGGCGCTCTGCCCCTAAAAATCATGCATTTCACAGGCTCTTGACATAGCTTGTACTGCTAGAGCTGTGGCTTTACGAGGTATTTCTCTAACAAAAAACAGTGGGGCAGAGCTGTCAGGTCATGCAGCCTATATGAGCTGCTACGGCCACGCATCTCCTAATCTTTTCCCGACAAATGGATTTAATTGCTCATTCCCTACAACACGAGACCGCAGCCAAAACTAAGGTTCACCGTCTGAATTTTTGTTTACAAATGCGATTATGATCTCCTGATTCAGAACCAGAGTGCTCCCCACAGTTAATCTCTAACGTGACACAGTTATTTCTTCAGATTTTTAAATGTTTAAACTCAATCCTTGCACCTGCTTCTCCCTGCTCTAAAGTGCCCAGCTTGGTATCTGCTTCACCATCCGGAGCACACCCACATGCCCCAGGGAAGGGAGCACAGCCCCAGTCACCCCTTGTCCGTCAGTGCAAAGGGAGTTTCCTGCACCAAGTCGCAGCTCCCGTGAGGCTGCCAGCACTATTACTGTGTCAATCAATTACACAAAACTTGCTCTCTGCTACCACCCACTGCCTTCTCAGCTTCGCTGTTCTTTGGCCTTGTCTCAATTCATGTGTATGTGCTTGATTTAATTTCCTTTGTACAAACTGGATTGACTTGGGTTCTTTCAAAGTGGTACTTGGCACTGATTTCTGCATATATTTTTGTGCCTCCCTGGGTTCCTTTGCATCTTTCCCCAGTTTATCTTAATACATTTTGATATTTAGTGCAAAAGCATGCATGCGAGGAATCGGTGCAGGAGAGCTCCTGTGCATTAACATCATTAGGATTGTGTATCCTAATCTCACTTCCCAGGCTGGATGAGACAGCCCCAATGCATTTGTTTGACTGACACTTCCAACTCCTTCAAATTAAGTATCATCATATATCATATTATCAGTATAATTAGCATGCATTTATTGAAACCAGGAACTTGTGAAAGTATTCATTAATTATAATTTCTCTTTTACGGAAGAAGACCATGAGAATTTGTCTTCTTTCTCAGCACTTCCCCCCTTCTTTAAGGCCACAACTTAAAGAGACCTGCACTGCCAAAACCTACACAAAACTCAAACCTTCTTGTATAGTTGACAGTTTCTGTTTAGGTGTCTAATTTCAAATTTCTCTAGGGCTCAATTAACTTTAGTCTACTGGGTGAATGCAACTGACAAACACCAGGTTTGCAGTGCTACAGTCAACTACAGCTGGTTTATGTGTGCATTGCCTTTTAATGGTCGAGCCTATTACTTAAATCTACAATTTATTCCATAAGAATTATTTTAGATTTCATATTTCTCCCATGAATATGTGTTAAATTATGAAGTTTAAGTGTACATAATTCTCAGGTACAGGATTGCTTTAGTCTCTGAAGCCCAGAATTTACATTCTGTAATTTCATCTTGGCTTGCTTGAAATGCTTTGAAATATTCATCTTTCAATTCTATCAGTTTTCTTTTAATGGAAAGAGCACAGACCTCTTACTTTGCAGTTCAAAGGAGATGAAGAAAACATCACTCAAGATGTCAGCCACTTAACACAATAAAGGTGCTTTTCTTATAAAGGTTGACAGAATTTTGTAAAACCCAATCTCTTTCAAACGCTTCTAGGTAGTCAAGTATCACATTGATTTCAAGGAAATGTATGTGTCTAGATTTTGCCTAAATTCATCCCTAATTTATCCCCAAGCCAGTATTAGTTAGACAGTTTTAAGAATTTTAATTGTGTTTAGAAAGAACTGGAAGGAATTTTCAGGGAGACCAGACAGCACCATGAGGGGTAGGCACAGCCAGACATGCTGCTGAGCAGCAGCCTCTTTGCCCAGAATTTCCCCCTTCCCTCTCTGTCCATGCTTGCTCCTCCAAACCACAACCCCTCCCTTTCTCCCCACTTGGTTCTGCCTCTAAATATCCCAGAACAGGATTTATACACACCCCAATCTTCTCCAACATCCCATGTCTCTGTAAGTCACTGAGCCTATGAGATGAGCTCTCCTGAGATGGCCCAGGAAAGACAGAGCAAGGGGTTTCAGCTTCAGGAGCTCCAGTTTAGTATTGGGCTTCCCCTTGCTTCTCTGTGCTTAAAAAAGCTGAGCTGTAATCCCAAACCCAACATTCACCAATGCAAAAAGCAGGTGGGCCGCACCATCACCTCTCCTCACACGGCCTTTCCCAGCCATGTGTCAGTTCCTGGGTGGGCAGCACTCCCTGCACAGCCAGCCCGTGGCCACTGCAGATTCTGAGGAAGTGCTGATGTGGGTGGCTCCAGTGTGCTGAGCCTCACAGCCCCACACCTCAGGACAGGAGCTGCTGGATCACAGCAGCCCCCAGCAGTGGCAGCTGCACCTGCACAAGTTACCTCTTTCCTCTGGCCTGCTTTGCATTTGTGGAGCTGAGCTTTTAATCACATAACCTAACACAGACCACCAGAACTGTCTGAAAAATGCATCTGGAAGCACTGCTCTGCCATGTGCCAGCCTTTTCCCAACAGCTCCCCTTGCAGCACATCCTGAAGGACACCTGTCAGCCAAAACAAGCCACGTTGTGAGTGCAATGTGGAAACTTTTCCATTTCTGAGAAAAAAAAAGGTGAAGCAGTTTCTTGCTACAAAAGTGCATGTGATACTTTTACAGAGGGAGTGGCACAAACGACCTGATTTTACTACTTTGTACCTGTTGCGGTTTCCCCATAGCACAGAGCAATTGAAACAAAACACTTAAAGCTGTCAAGAAACTGAAAAACAACTTACGCTTTGTTTTTAAACTTAGATCCAAATGTAGAGATCAGCTGCAGTTATTCACACAGCACACTATTCAATTACGTTCCAAGTCCACGTTTCCTAAAAGATTTCTTCAAGGACATAAGATTTAAATCCTTACAGTAGAGTCAATGTTAAATTACTGTATTTGCAAACGTTGGCCTTTCTCCGTGGGACAGTTAGCATGGACATAAACACCTGCATTGATAAACTGTAGCAAAACTACTTCTACCTGCAAATAGGGTGGTTTGCATGCACAGAGGCAGCCAGAGGGTCTGTCTGTCCCCATAATAACTAGCTTCCCATACAGTGGTCTGTTTCCATAGAATCATGGAATAATGAACATTGAAAGGGCTTGGCGGAGATCTGCTACTCAAAGCAGACCTAATTTCAAAGCTAGATCAGGTGGCTCTGAGTCTGTCCATTAGAGTTCTGAAAATTTCTGGTGATGAAGACTTCACAATCTCTCTGGGTATCCGCTCAAAGTCCTGGACCATTTTCAAGGTGATTCTTTAGGTTTTATCTCATGTATGCAACTGGAATTTCTCTCACTGCAGAGTACTGTCCTTCTACTGGGCACCTGTAGGAAGAGTACAGGTCTCATTTCCATATGGTAAGCATGGATCTGTTTAGCCCCACATCTTTACCTTCTCTTCTACAGGCAGAACAGTCCAAGCGCTTCATAGACCACATATCCCAGCCCCACCACCATCCTCTAAGCTGCTCTATCAGGCTCTATTTTGTTGGCAACTCTTGGGGGAGCCAAGCTGAGCACAACACTCCAAGTACTGCTCTCACAAGGAAGGGAAAGTAACCACTTCCCTCAGCCTGCACACTGACCCACACTTCTAGGCTTTCACAGCTGCCCCTTAGGCCCTTTTCTGCAAAGCTGTTCTTTATCCAGCCTATCTGCTCACAATTTGGAAACAGATACTTTGGGAGATTTTGACACCTAGCCTGGAAAGGATTTAGCTTCAGCATGAATGAGATCACTTACAAATCTACTAAAACTGCACCTCTTGTAATTCAGTTCAATTTGTCTTGGCTCTGCCTTACAAGGAAATCATCAAACCAAAGGACACACATCTGGCACCACAAAGTTCTACCCATGGATGAATTTTTTTTCCTGAAGGCTGGTCTTCGTTGATAGCATTTCATCAGTGAAAATGACTATACTGAAATGAAAACAAAGCAGTAAACACCATCTTTACCAGCATCACCTAATCAGGTGTCTCACTTGTCTCAAGAGCTAGGTGTAGTTTTAACCATATACGGTTAAAACAGTGTAGAGCTGATAGTGATTTTACTGTATCTGGGGAAAGCATCACATAAAAGGAAATATTCTATGAGATGTCCTGTGGTTTCCCACTTAATTTAAAAAGAGGTGGAATGTGGTAATTTCACAAAAAAAAAGATAGGTATCAATTTTATAATCCATCCGTATTACAAGAGCCATGTTAATGCCATGAAACTGTCAGCCAGAGTCTAGTTTTTACTTCTGAAAAAACACAGAATTTGTTAAAAACAGAGAGCATTTAAAGAAATAGAATATTTCTAACCAGACCTAGCTGATACAGAACTGCACAGAGCAGTCATCAGTGTCCCTCTCCAGCACTTCTCTGTTCACACAAGTGTTCCCATCTTTTATGACAGGGCTCTGGTTGTCAATTCTATCACCTGAGGTGGCGTACTCAACTACATTGGTTCTCTGAGAGAAGCCTATGAAAATACTAAATATGGTTTGAAATACATGGTGAAACAAGCATTCAAGAGGGTTTAGCTTGTCACTTATGTTTAAATACCTCAAACAATAGTAAACAAGATAAAATTTTGCCAATCAAGATTGTTGGGTTTCTTTCCTTTGTTGAATCATAAACCATCTGACAACTTGGACTGGTATCACTAATGTAATTCTGTCACGTCTTAACCAGACTCATAATCAGGAAATGCAAGATCCTTTGGGCTTAAAAGGATTCTCAGCTGCAGACTGGACTATATAAAAAGCATTTTTCATATAAAACTCCTCAAATCCCACAGAGCTTCCTTAATTTATCTAAATGTTAAGGTTTCTGGTTCAACAAGTCTCAAAACACGATTTAGCCAGCACAATAGCTTTATTTGACAATTTGAATTACACACAATTCAGTAAAAGCTCACAGGAGGAACAGCACAGAGACTTACCACTTTTTGGTATTTCCTTCAATTAGAGCCAAAGCCCAAGGTCTCCAGTTAACTCCCAAAGTAAGAGAACAATACTTGGTTGTTAACACAGGTCATGTTAACATATAAAATATCTAATTAGTTAAAGAAAAGGCCACATCTTCAACTGCAATTAGAAAATTTTTAATAAACTTTTGGTTTCTTTTGGTATGATAAATTGCCACATATCCTATAGCTAACAGGTAATGGAACATCATGTTTTCCCAAGGCATGTAAGAAAGCAAACAACACTGCCTCTGCATTATTCCACACACCTTAAAAATGAATGCCAGAAACGACTGTTCATGTGGAATTTTATTTCCTTCAGACATGCTGATGCTCTTAGGGGAAAAAAAAAAAAAGAAAAAAAAAGAAAAAAAAAAAAAGGAAAAAAAAGAAAGGGGGAAAAAAAGTCCAATCCAAACTTTTCCATACACAGTATCTTGAGGCACAGGTTCCCCTACCCTTAAACGAATTTTATACACAGGCTGTATCATATGTTACAACATTGTTCCTATTTGAAGTTATGGCACATTGACTTTTTGGGGTGAAAAATATTCTCCTCTGTGTTCAGCTGCTACAATATGGCACCAAGTTAAAAGTTAACACCATGACTACTCTGATACTCTTTTGCTGGCTATTTTTGGGGTGCACATAAATAAAAGGCACACTTTTGCTGTCTCCTCTCAAATCGTTTATGTAATGTACAAGCCTAACTTCCCAGCACTGCTCCAGGCCTGCTGGCCCAGTGCAAAAAAATATTTAAGTCAGCTTCCAGTGCTAGTAGCAGCTTTATATGCTTAACCAATGGCTTTAGTTTAGCATGCTACTTCCACTGTGGTGATTACTGATGACAGGTCAACAGTGTTCCTGAAAAAGAAAATTACAAATCCTAAAAAAAGAAAAAAAGTTAAAATAAAATTATTTATATTCACTTACATGTCTATTTTCCAGATGTGTTCACAATGTTCAGAAAGTGCACATTTTGAAGTCCTTTCAGTACAAATGTCCATGACCTACACATTATAGCAGCGCCACTTGCAACAGTATCAGTGAAGAAGTGTCAACCCTGCCACCACTGATCCTGTTCTGCAAGAGCATCATGAAATTACAATAATTTGCTCTTAGCTAGAACTTAGTGTCCATAATGTCCTCAGTATGATATTTTAAATATTTGCATTAAACTTTGTACAGCAGTCAGAATCTGAAAAGCAGAAGTTTAGTAGTTTCACTTTTTGGCGCTCATTTTTACTTTAAATATTTTCAAGAATGAAAGTGATCTCACAGCACATGAAGAACCCTCAAAAATAAAAGCTCCACTAAGCATTACACACTGTTAAAAACTTACCCTATAAGATTTAGTTACTGATTTGTGAATCCTTACAAAATTACTTTTCGTGATTTAACAACAGATAACATTGATGAAATTATCATATATAAAAACAGCTTGGGTCTAAACATCAATGGTCTGACAAACATATGTTAACAAGAATATTCTGAGTTAAGACTAGTGCTAAACTTAGCTCCTAAATATAGCTAAATTCAGATTTAAGAGTTTAGATACTCTCAATTTAATATGCCTTTAAAAAAGGTAAAGTCCAACTTTCAGAAGAGTCTGTAAAAGAGCAGTTTCAAGTAAGTCTGGAGTAACTAGGTACTGTGGCTAGAGTTACCATAAATATGTACTACATGCTGACTTGACAAGATTGCGTTAAAAGAAGTGTGAGCTGAACCACCACCTTTGAAGGTTCTTGCTTTGGTTATCTTTAAAAAAATCTGACTGCTAAAATAACAGTGCAAGTTCACTATAAAGCCACATGCCTCCTTCTCGATGTTCTCTTACCAACTGGTTTTCATTATGTCCACTGCCAGCAATGGACATTCTGCTTGGAAAATCCACCTCCTGCTGTGAAAGGTCTGGCTGAACCAAAAGAAGGAAGTAATTCTGATACCAGACTCAAAAGGGAACACACTATTTCATTTAGTTCTTGTTAAGAATATTTAAAAACCTTCTTCACCTACAGTCTTTTTGAAACACAAGGCACAAATAGGGAGTGGACATTCCAGCAAAAGGTGATTGTCTGAAATTAATAGTCCACCGCAGTCTTCTAGTCCAGCACAATGAAAGATTTCTGCTGTCCAATTCTATGCCACATCTTCTAGATAATCTGCAACGTCACTTAACTGAGAAATGGTAAGGTCTTGTGTGATGCTTTCGAGCTAGAAAATAAATGAAATTTATGAAATTTTATGAAACTCAGAAATCACAAAAACAGTATTACATCATTTATTCCTTCATAAACCTTTCATATACTTTTTGACCTCAAGCTGTTTCAGTGAGATTACACAGTCCTTTAGGAGGTACTCAGATCTTGAGATACTGGGGTAAATCTTTGTATGTTGGGCACTGAACCAGCTTCAAATACACATTTTACACAACTAGAAAGGCACAGTGAGTTGTGCTACTCAACAACTGTTGCAGGGTTTTTGTTTTGTTGGGATTTTGTTAATCAATATAGCATCTAACTTAGCAAGGATACTACGTATAAAAACCAGAATGTAACAAATAATAGAACCTTAACACACAACCTAAGAGCTAAGGATAACCGCATGTTACTTCACAGAAGGTTGGAAAGCCAAGACAAGATCAGAAGAATACAAAGAACAATAATTTAAAAATAATCATACTTTATCACTGGCATTTGACTCTTCTGTTCCCACAGAAATTTCATCTATTTCTTCACCAATACTGATGTCACTTTTTTCTGAGCGATGACTCGTACTAAAGAGAAAGAAAACCACAAGGACAGAAATAAGACTTCCTTATCAAACATCCAGGTATGACATTTACTTTATACCTGACATTTGATTGTAATTTCACTTCCTAGCTAGTTAGATGTGAAGTTACACAAAACTCCATAAGAACTAAAGGCTTTTCTACCTAAATGAAGCCATAATAAATACTGTGAATACTTAGGCCTTGATCATGCAATTAACAACACTGATACCTCCGTATCATAAGCATAAGGTCGTTAAATATTTATGACTACTCATGATGCTTTATTTTCCAATTGAATACCTCAGCATTCAGCATGATTATTGACTAATTGCATTAATTGCTAAAACATTATTAAGTGCATGGTTCAGGAAAAAAAACAAACCTCAAATCCCTTCCACAAAAAGCTCAGCATAGTATCATGCTGAAGTTAGCAGTATGTTTTTAAGGAACTCATCTCTATACAAAAAGAGATATGGTTTGGTTGTTTGTTTTAACTTGTAATTAAATCTATTAAAATAGCAAACTGAAGTTTAAAGGAGTTCAGAAGTACTGACAGATCCCAGTGATAGTGACTGTCTGCCATATTATGAAATAATTCAAATATGCTAGTGGATATGTTTATACTACATAAGCAGTTATAAGCACTTTTACACCTATTGAGGTGTGATCCTTCTCTTACCTGTTGAAGTCATCAGCATATTCATCATCATCTCCATTTCCTAAATAAGATTTAAAAGCTATTAATCAAACAAGTTTTCTCTTCAGGAAACACAAAAACCCCCAATCTATTATTGCACCAAGATACATGGTTTGATGACCAGGCAAAGTGGGAGTAGATTAAATTATTTACACTGATTAGAAAGATGAGTTGTGTTTATCATTATTTAATGTCAGTATTATTAACATAAACTGTTCCAAAACTGAACATACATTTTCAGGAAGGTAGCTGCATTGCTGAATACAAACTTTAAATACTCGACAGCTCTGTTTTGATAGAATTCTTTCATTACACCTTCATATTGCAACAAAAGAAAGGCAACTTTCAAAGGTGTGGAGGGCAACTAAATATGTCACTGAAAAGCAGTAATACTTACCAGGCTATCTTTTACCAAAAACCATAAACCTGCTCTTTTCATAGAAACCTCAACAAAATTCATCACTTGGTATTAGTAAATGCTTGCACAGAATGAATCAAATTTTTGCTCCATGTGTAAAGTATTAACCCACAAGACACCAGTTTTCACTTTTTTGGATTTCTTTAGATCACATCTTGCTTTTAACTACGTCGAGCTTCATAATCTATGTTAAATAGAATAATGTAAGTAAAAGCTGAAGATTTTTAATTCAATATGTGTATCTGAGTTTCTCAGATTCCTTTAAGAAGCTGGGGCAGAATTTATCAGTTATGGCCAACCAAAAATTCCAGAGCTTCCTCATGTTTAGCAGTTACTTGCCTAATTCCAGGGATCCCAGCTTTGCATTTACCAACCGCAGGTCTTTTAAAACAGAGTTTCTATCCAAATCTGTAAACAAAAGCACTTATATCAGAATTTGGACTTGTCACTCATCAGTAAGATCCCACTTACACAAACAAACCAACCATTTATAACAACTGTTCTTTTATATCAACCTTATGTACTTTTATAGTATACTACACCAATATCATATTTTATTTTCACAGTTGAATTCTGATAACATTTAAAACCTTGAGTAGTAAAGACAAATAATCTCCCACTACTCAGGGATTTACAACATGAAAGCAAATACCTCTAAAGAACCAGTACAAATAATTTAAGATAATACAAAAAATTAAGCCAATTTCAGTTTAAAACTGAGCAGTAGAATAATATACTCCTTTATATACACTGCTTCAGATGCACACAAAAACAGGGATGTGGTAAGTATTTCATGCACCAAAGCATAAAATGCCCCAGTAGTAGCACAATATATCCAAACCAGCATGCCACCACTTGCTAAGAAAGTGCAAGTTTCAACTGTAAAACACATTACAACCAGCCACATACTCTATCATTCTTCCATCTGAATGTGTAGCTCATTCATTGCATTACAGAAATAACTTCTACAATCATCAGACACAAAAATATATAAAAACTTACTATCAGACTCCTTTAGCAAAGGTGCACCAGTCAGGGAGCTTAAACCACTTTTTAGAGCTGGTGCATCAGAAAGGGATGCTAGACCTCCTGTTTTATTAGTCTCTGTTTTCCTGTAAAAAAAACAAACAAGTACTCCACAGAGCTGTAAAATATGCATCATTACCTTCTTTTCTGTTATTAAATTGTCAAAAAACTAGAACAGCAATACTACAGCAAAAAAGAGCAAGGAAAAAGGACTATTCATTCTGCAACCCTAAAAGCAGTAGGCAGCTCACTAGCACAAGTGTCAACCACAACACTGACAAGAAAGCCACTTTCTCACCCATGCAAAGACTTCCACCTGCCTTCTCTCACAGACAGAGCACCTTCATCAGCATCACTATTTATGTCTAAGGACCTTTCATCATCCCCATACGTAAATGCAGCCAAAAGAGAAGAGATTCAGATATAAAACAGTACTTCAGTTTGTTTTACATCTTAGAGAGATTACGTCTGATGAAGCTATTAATTCTAAGAGTGGTCAGTTCATAGAATAAAAACCTCTTGGTTACACAAGACAGACCTCACATGTTAAAGTTCATTTGGCTACTACCTAGTTCAAATCCTACTTGCAAGTAAAGGATGAAGAAACACAAATTAAAAGAGACCAAGATTTTCACATTTAGTATTTCCAGAACTGTTTGCTATTTTGATTCCATTCTTATTCATAATGGCCATCATTTGAATCATTCATTATATCTAGCTCTAAGTACCACAAAGGGGATTATACCTGAAGAATATGGGGAGTTTTTTGCCCTCTGGAAGAGTTGCCAGGAAGGTAAAAATGGGAAATTCAGCACACACAGCTCAACTACAAATAGCTTCTTGCTCATTTGTCAGCAACACATTCAAGCAAACCTTATATGGGATGTTACAAGAATAGCTGCATCACAACAACATTATGTGCTACAAAATACTACTTGTGGACTGTGACTCTACTACAGACACACATAATCTGGAAGCAATTTCTTCTGCAGGGAGTTTCTCTACTAGTAAAAAAGTCCTTACTTTACTAAATAATTAGTCTGTTTCTTGGATTGTCTTTTAGAAAAAATCTAGTTCATCCAGTTTCAAGGAAAATTTATCTTGCTGTCATACGAAAATGCTCAAAAAATAAGGAATTAATAAATATTATTATGCAAAAGTTTTCACAGACTTTTCTAATTTACCCAATTCAACATTTAGACTATCTGCTACAATGGTTTCTTGGGTCAAGGGCTAGTTGAATGAGCTCTCAAGTAAGGAGGAGTAAATGAACTCAGAATCAGTTTTAATCCTGACATTAACAATTACAAAAGGAGAAAAGAAATACTATAGTAGGGTTAGTTGCAATATACAATATTTTCCAGAGTACAGTCAGTGCTCTTTGAGGAAGAAAAAGTCTATTCCAATAAGAAACATCCAACAAAAGCTGTATTATAAAAAATCTTTCACAAAGAGTCCATTCATTTACTAGTGAGAGGCCTGGTTTACCTGTCATCATTACTTTGTGCTCTACCAGAAGATTCCTACTCCTAGACTAAGCATCTACTCTAACAGTAATACAAAAAAGCTTATGCTGCTTTGCCCACTATCAGCATAGCTGGGTGGAAAAGCCAACTGCCAAACTCATTTACAAATGATTCTGCAAGCTCTTCTTAATGTCTGCTAAGCTGGAGCAATTCTCTGATTACTTGAGCACAGCAAAAGAACATCATGAAATAATCCTGAAGCATTGCTCAATACAGTGGTATCTAAGCTAAGCTTCAAGATAATTCAACATGATAACACAAAGATAGATTTTTCAGTTTTATAACAAAGCTGCTGTATAGCTCAGTCACTAGTTCTTGTTTCAAATGCCATTTTTCAGTCATCAGGCTCCACAGATAAACAATAAAAATGTGCTTCAGATCCATCTGCAAAATTGGCACATACAGAAGTAACAACACTTCACTGAAAACACAAAAGGTGTTGCAATGTTAAGAGAAAATCCTCAGCTGTAAGAAAACTTTCTTTGTTATTACAGTCTATGGAGTCAGTTTAGAATGTTTTTTGTATTCCTAACAAAGCCATACCAATATTCAATGCACTGTCCCTGTCACTGTCTACTTCCTTTAGTACCACTGCAGCTCTTTTTCAAGAGGAAACACTGATGTCTGTGCCTCATACATGTTCATTCCACCAAAAAAACAGGCTGCGGACATTAGATACCCTAACTGATGCAGTTATGAAGTGATATAGATTTTTCCACTCATAGTACATCCAAGAGATCTCAGAGGACACTGCATAGAATAGAATAGAATAATGGAATAGAACAAAATCAGGGACGTGAATATTTTGGAAACAAAATGTTACAGATCTGAACACTTACAAAAGCAAATAATAATAGCTCTCAAAGGTCTGCAAGCATATAGAGGACTAAAGAAACTATGTATTAAGAGAAACATCCACGTTACCTACCAGCTGTAAGTTCTTTCTGGTTTGGGTACAGGGTCATCAAAGAAAGAATCTTCCTCTACATCATCTTCATCCACAACTGGATCACTTTTTTCTTTGGTATTCAAGTCTTTGTTTTCTAGTTGAGGATCTAGTTTTGTTTCATTAGGCAGAAAATGAATACTTCTTTTGCTTGCATCCCCTGATGAGACACTTGTATCACTCTGAGTGTTCTCAGTAGCCTTAAAAGATAAAGACTGGAGTAAGTATTCATGTCACGTAATACTCTAAGTGCATATAAAAATGCACAACACATAACATAAACCCAGCATCACTTTTTAAAGCATTACCTCAAATTCCTAAAAAGTACTAGTAAGTTCATTAGTATCATCAAGAATCACACCAGAATAAAAGTTGTTTTATCACTTTAGAAAGTGTTCTTTATTGTTGCTGCCATTAAAATATTTTGTTCCATCCTGTGCATTGCTATGCTATCTACATCACTTCTATTATAAAAGCAAACCATTTTAAAGTATCTTAGTTATCAAATAAAGAAATCTAGACAGACTGATTCTTAAGTGTTTTTCATGTTATTTATATCTCTACAAACAAAGGTTCGTAGTTATAGCTAGTCTTCAAAATAAATCAATTTAAACCCATGAAAATTACTCTAAGTTCCATATTAAGTGGTAATCACTGCAATACAGTATTAGATTTTAAAATAATAAGCATAAGAAAACTGGAGTTACTGACACATTCTCTCAAATACTAATCAAAAATGAGAAAAGCATGACTTTAAAAGTACATAACTTTCAGTCTTCTTCTCATGCTTATGGCTCAGACCTACAGTCTAGAATGTAAGGACAATTCCATGTGCAACCTTTAACATTAAATCATACAGCTCAAGCTGTAACTTAGCATGGCTTTGTGGACCAAAGAACAATATTCTAATTTACCTAGATAATCAAGGTACTGGGAAAGAAAAATGTTTTTATCCTATTACCTAGCAAGTAATACTGCTATTTTCACTTTCCCCTAGACTTACTAAAATTAAGCTAATAAAAGATGTATTACAGTAGCTTCCTTTCTACAAATTAACAGCAGCAGAGTTTTGAAACAAGACAAAAAGTATTATTTAATTCAGATAGCCAATATGTATGTAGGTTGTACTATCTGAAGTGGTTTTTTATCAGTCATTAATTTCCACTCAGAAGGCCGAAGCCAAATTTTCAAACTAAAGGCCATGCAAGTGAAAATTACCTTGGTAGGTCATTTTCATACCAAGGCTATTTTATCTCAGTCACAGAATCACATTCAATTGCTGGCAGTAGCTCAGTTTTTCTAGGGCAGGAAAAAGTACTTAAACCTACAAGTGGTAGTAATAAAAATTTTGATTTCCTATTCTAGATGAATAGAATTGGTTTTGAAAATGAAGAGCTTAACGTTAGCCTGGCTACAATAAAACGGAAGCTACAGCTACTTTTCTGTTCTGGGCCCTGTACTATGTCATGCCAGGAAAGTATAAGCACAACAGTTCATCTTTGATTGGAATCATATAAGGAAGTTTTGCTGAGTGGAATACATATTTTCAAGTTGCAGATCATTTAAGTGAATACTGTCATATCTACAGTTTCATAGGAGTTCTCTCTTTTACTCATCTCACATATGTTACGAAGCTTTTCATTATATATCATCTTACCTTATTTGGTATAGAGTGTGCACTTGACCGTCCCTCAGATGATTTTGATGTGGGGCACTGGCTGTCACTTAGAACTGGAGGCACCTAATAATCAAATAAGCACTTACTGAAACTCATATTTCATTTTGTAATAACTAGCACTGGGGAGGTCACATCTCAACTACTGCATTCAGTTTTGGGCCCCTCACACTAGAAAAGATATTGAGGTGCTGGAGCACATCCAGAGAAGGGCAATGAGACTTATGAAGGATGTAGAAAACATGTCTCAGGAGGAATGGTTGAGGCAGCTGGTCTAGACAAGAGGAGGTTCAGGGAGGGGGTGTGGTGAAGTGGGGACAGTCTCTCCTACCGTGCCTGCAGTGAGAGGTCTAGAGGAAATGGCCTAGGAGATAGGGGGATTGAGATTACATACTAGAAAAAAAATGTTTCACTGTTACATTGGTCAGACATTGGAACAGGTTTCCCAGAGGGGTGGTGGAGTCACCATCCTTGGAGGTACTCAAGAGGCATCTGCACCTGGTGCTGGTTGGTGGGGATGAGGGGTTACAGTGATGGTGCTATGCTGACACTTGAACTGGATGATCTTAAAGATTTCTTTGAATCTCAATGATTCTCTGATCCTATGATAATTGCATCCATGAAGAAACAAGACTACCCTCCTCACTTGGACGGTATGCAAACCTTGGCACCGGGAAGACAACTGAGATTTGCACTAGAGAAAACTGGGAAGTTATAGTCACACACAGTATGGAAATCACAGAGTGAGGAGAACCAGGAGGGCCTCTCCCTTCTAAATTGCACTACAGGATTTGACTCCAATACACTGCCAGTATGTGTCCCTCAGCAAGTCAGTTAAACACCCTCCAATACAGTGGACTGCTCAGTGGAGTCCCCATAACAGGACAGGGACAGAATGGCCATGCACAAGGATCTTCACTTTCCAGGGGCACTCCCAGACAGATCAAATACAAGGAAATACAATGGCTCAAGGAAACCCCCCTTTCATCTGACAGAAAATTGCTATGTTAAGTCTATTACAACTATTCCTCAAATTTAGCTTTATTTGGGACACTGAATGCATGCTGGGTGTAGAGAACTTTCTTCTAAGTCACAGTCAAATGCTATTGGATTTAACTCAGTCAACATATTAATTATCTATTCCATTCAAATACTACTGTCATTGCCTTCAAGTAATTCAGTCCTTTGATATATTTAATTTTAAGTACATATGTTTTCAGAAGAGCTTTAAAGCTTTTGACAAAACTCATTTGAGGCTTTTCAGGTCATATTAAAACTATAAGTATGCCAGGGAAAACAGGTACAGATAGAAGTGATATCAAAACTACACCAGAAGTTAGAAAACAAGTGGCACAGTGTTTTGTGTCAGTTATCTAGAATCATTCTGTGCTACTATGTTGAAGTAGAATATTAATAAAGACCTCTAGGGTGGTATTAAAAGTAATTGTCATAAAGTTTATTTTTTATCTCTCAAATAAGTTGAAGGCATAATATAATAAAGACCTGAAACAGTCTAGTAGTACAACAATAGCCAAGTGTTCAAAATTTCAGTTTATTTTTCATCACTGAATAAAAATGAATAAAGAATTATAAAGAAAGAAATTTCAAGTTAGTATTACTTACTTCTCTACCGCCAGAAATCTTTTTCTGCTGACACTTCCTAACAACCTCCAGCAACAGGGGACCACCCACAGTACCTTCTGCTTCTGTAATTCCCAAATCTCGAGCTAAGTTCTCTCGACCATCAAGGCCATTTAGCTGGGGGCGACAACAGAAAAAAAAAGATTCACAACATTGAAATAATTGCCAGAAAATGAAAGATAAATTTTGTAATATAAGAAAGTCTTATTTAACACAGCTCCACCTGGACTAAAGAGTGATTACTTACAATGTCTTGTTACTTGTGGACTGAAGTAATAAAACCATAGAATCATTCAGGTTGGAAAAGACCCTTAAGATCAAGTCCACCACTACACCATGTCCCTAAGTGCCAAATTGTCCTGGTTTAGGGCAAATTTGGGAGAAACCCTCTGAAAATCAACACCTCTTTTAAATACCATCTATTGCATAATTTACCTCTGATCTGTACCTGAATTTGTCACAGATCATGCAAAGTTATTTTAAATATGCAAGAAGCCCACATTAGCATGCTTTGGGATTTAAGAATTGATATGGCCAAATTACTTTATCCTATCACATTTAACAGTGGATCCAAGGACACCCAGACAGTGGTCCCAGCAAATTCATGGATGATGGAGAGTTGCCATTGCTGTGCATACTGAACTATGCTTGCAAAGGTCTACACTTCCTTTCAGTCTCTGTTTCACATTAAAAAAAATCTATGGGTTTGGACAGGAAAGGTGATGAAAGCAATTCGGTATCATCCAAAAAAACCCACAAAAAAATCCCAACAACACTTTTTTAAACTCAGTTTCACACTATAGGAGAAGCAGAACGCTACAGCAAACCCAGGTTGGCTAGCACAACCCCTGATGGCAACGCTACAAATGGCACCAGTTCATCTTGATCTCCTACAAACATTTAGTTACACTTCCTATCAGAACACAGGTCAAGCAAATACTGAAGTAAGCCACCACTAGTCCAGCACACAGGATAGAGACAGTACAAGAAACTGCTCAGAGGCCAGTAGAGACAAAATCAAATCTCTCAGCACCATACACAGCAGTCTTGGCCAGCTCATTTAACTTTGACCAAATTTCCTTTATGCTCTGCAATAGGTGTAATGGACACATTTACTGGAAAACAGAAGGGCTGTTTCAGAGAGCATAGGATGCCTTTACAATGCAAAGGAAGCACTGCTCCCAAGAGTGAGTGGCAACACAACATAAAGTGTGTCTGTTTTCATTTGTTTCTATTTGGTAGCGTGAACAGATCTTTGTACAGATGTGTTCCAGTAATAAATTAGCAACTCATTTGGTTAAGGATATTTGGCAAAGAACAAAGTTGCATGGGATTTTCTTTGCATAAGCCCCTAAAAAGAAACAGGAGGTTCTGAGAAACAGAAGTCAACTAATTGACTGATTTGAAAAAATTGGATTTTTCATATATTAACTATTTAAACTGACTTCAAGAAAAAAAAGTACTTGAGATATAATGAGAAATTCTGCAGTGAAATGAAACTCCCTCAAACCCAAAATTATTATTAAAACTTTTATATCACAAAAAGAGACAAAGGCACAAAGATGATGAAAACCCTCTAATTTAGTACCTAAAGCCTTAAAGCAATCAGTTGAGACACATAATCACTGTAGATCCCTCCCAAATGAACTATTTTATTAAATCACTTCTTGTGATATCTCCACAAAGTCCTTTTTGTCACGGAAATTTCTCTCAGAGTAGATGACTGACATTATTTTAATTTTCATGTAACAATGCTAACTTAATATTATGACAGAGTAAAGTTAGTGGCAAAAAATGTTGTAAGGTTATGCAGGATTCATATACTATTATATGATTCCACAAAAATTATCAGCTTGTTAATTCAGAATTAAATTACTATTTGATTTTGATAAAGAGAAATACTCATATTAGCCCGCTATCCTGAAAAATGTATTTTCATGACACTAAGTACCTATTACAGACAAAACATAAAAAAAATATTTTTAGTAAAAACAAGTAAGTGGTTTAAACAAATCAGCCATAGATTCTGCATTCATTGCCATGCACTTCAAGCATTGAGCACTGCATACAAACTAAACCAGTATATCTTACGGTGCTTGATTCAGGCTGAAAAACAGCTAAAGTAAAATCAAGATTGAAAAACCGTAGAAATTCTGCAACAAGACCTGCTACCAAGCGACCTAGAAAGAAAATGAGAAGAGTTAAAATAGATCAGACAGAAACAAATATTATTTCAAAGATTTAACATTAACACCAGCACACATGGCTTCAGTATGGACATCGTTTAGACATCCAGCAAACTGCCACCTCATAGCAAGTTTGTACACCAACACCCTAATTTTGAACGTGGCCGTCATATCAAAATCATTAAAGGCAGTAATACTGCAAAAGCATTACAGCCTGCATACTAAATTCATGTGCAGCATTTTTTATAACTATTCAGCTGTTCCAAAAACATCATTTTGACATCTGTTGTCTATGGTGCATTCACTCCAGTACCTATGCCCTTAGTTTTCATTGGCTACTCCTTCTATTGGTCTAGAATGTCTCAGCACAACTGTCAGACATCGTGAAATATTAACTTCAATGCCTTAATCACCTTTATTAAAAACAGAACTTCAGCAATATTAACTTTAAAAATTATAGATTTCATTATACTCTGAATGAGTAGTAATTAGGACATCTGAAAGGAACAAAAGCATATTTAATGTAATAGAGACTGCACCGTTAATAAGATTCAAAGATTTAATCCTTTGTGACCTATTTTAATTATCTTGAGAAGTATATACTAAACAAAGTACTTACCATCCTTTGTACCTAAAAAACTTTTCAAGCTTTCATTTACCAGAGGTGCTTTGTTCTGTCAAAAAGGAAAAACCAAACGACAATTAATGTCATCTACATACCAGCAAGAAATTGAAAACCACAGCAAGCTAGTGTGCAATACTCTGCTGCACAATGATGCCCTGCCCATGCAATTCACTTCTTAAAAATCTACCTTTGTATGAATTCTACAACTATAGGTAAAAGCTATGCAGCAATAAATTTATTAAGGCAAATTAAATTTGTCTCGGAGCTAAAGCAATTTCACCACAATTCTTAATAGCATACTGATTTTTATTTATCTAATGACTGAAGAGGTAAACTAAGCAGCTAACTTCCCAAGTTTCTCCTCTAATAAAGTGCAAAGTTTAAGGTAATTCAGTCCAACCTTTTAAAAAATGGAAATTTATGAATCTTCCAGACGAAGTGTGGACCATGCTAGCTGTTAGAACACAAATCAATACTAATCTTCTATTGGTTAAAAAATATCAAAAATATTATAAAAAAGGTTTTTTCTCCCTTGTTAGATTTGCCCTCTTCAATTTTTAAACAGAAATAAATCAATGTGCTATGTCTGGGGTTGTCAAAATCTTTCTGTGATTTTTCAAAAGCAATTCTAAATGCCATTCCTAAGAGGGAACAGATATCCTGGGTAAGAAAAGGATCAGTTATACACATTTATCACTGCAGTTGCAAATGTTAACACACAAGAAAGTGCTACCTGAAAAAAGGAACTCTTGCTTAATATTTAAGAATTCAGAGTAGTGGTAAGTATTAATATGCCACCAGTATCAACAGTGTAAATTTAAAATATCATGATACATGTAACCTTTTTGAGAAATGGTGAGCTGAAATGTACTGTAGGAAATCTGTCTTCACATTACTTGAACTATTGCTATAACTCTCCAGGTCATGTGAAAGGCTGCTCTCTGGGTGCTCTATAATATCCTCAAGCTTCCCATAAAGAGATGGCACTGTTCTTTTGTATCAGTCTTCCATTACATCATCTTCAGCTATCTTATGTTAAAGTTCTGGAATACGGAATCTCAGATCATAGAATAACTACTTCCCATCCTTACTAACATCCCAATATTGTCTGCTTCAGTTAAGCATTTTTCCAGAAAGAGCACAACCATCTAACCAGTAGAGGAATAGAAGTTTTCCATTCCTCTCCTTTTGAAGCTGAGAGGCTGGACATACATCAGTCTCTACTCCCCAGTTCTAGAAAATGGAAAGACAGAGGAAACGAAGCAAAGCTAGCAGAAGAGGTCACAAAACTGGTATCTCTATACCACAGCAGCACTGTTATGCAATCATGAATCAGTATCTCATTCCCCTTATATTAATATAATGCCAAAGTATCAGTACATAGTCCATCTCTTTATTAAGAATTCATCCCTAAGTGTTAAAGCAAATTATCCTGAAGCAAGCCTCCAACAATCCTTATGGGAAATACCATAAGCATTAGCATACTTGGCATCTTACTGGACTAAACTGCCTTTGAAATATACTTGTCGAAACACCCCAGTATAAAATTTTCAATTTCAAAAGACATTATTCCATTTTGATAAGATCTTGATCAGTCAAGTAGATATCTTTTTTAAAAGATGTATTTGTTGGAGAAAATACTTAGCTATTCTGGTCAACTGGACAGAAGCCATATAAATCCAGCAGAGACAGACTCTTAAAATTACAATTTCAAAAGACTATTTAACAATTCCCATATTTTAACATCAGGAAACACCCCGATAGTCTTGTTTTGTGTTCTTTATGAATCTTATGCAGAAATACATCTTTTTATCTTGTTACATTTCACAAACAGAAAGTACTAAAGCTATGATATTTAATTCTACACAAAGGATGTTTTTCCTTTTTGATTTATTTTTTAAGGTTCTCTTACCTCTACTTTCTCTTGTTCTTCTAATGCCAAAAACACAGCTGCACGTAACTCTGCCTGCCAAATAAAAAACAAAACAAACAGCATTTCTAAAAGCACCTTTTTCCTAAGCAAATAGGATGCAAAGAGCTAGCAAGCAGCTTTACAGCTATTTGTTTCTCCTCAAGCAACTTGGCAGGGACTGTAATCTACATCAGTGCAATTAAAACACTTAAGATTTACAGGCAATGTTACTTGAGGCAGAGAAATAATAGTTTCCAGTCTGAGAACAAGACAGGGGGCAACATAATTTGATACAAGACTTCCTAAATTATTTCTTTGTACATAAAAAGATTCCAAAGTACCTAAATTATCTCCTATTAGTTTCTTCTGAGAGAAACATCCATCTCTTTCAGGCAGCTCCAAAACACCTACTCTTCATTTACAATTAATTCAGGAAATATGAACAAATAGGCCATAATAACCCATTAAAAACTAAATGTTACAATATACAAATTGCTATGATTTCTTGTCAGAATACACTCAAACCCCCAGAATTTCTCAAGGAAAAGAATATGATATCAGTGTCATTCAAATACTCCTGGTAGTAATGGTTTACTTACCGATTCTAAATATATTATTATAAAGAATCAGAATTATTCTAAGGACTACTCTGAATATTGAAGTTTAAGCCCTACTTACTTTTTAAAAAATTTTGTAAGCATTACAGTTTTTCTGCTTTCAGTGAACATGTCAAATGGATAACATACATTTGATGAATTAGTTTGCCACTTTAATCAACTCTTAATCTGACATTTTGAAGTCAGTAGATAACACTGCAGTAATAAACTAGAAAAGAGAGCATATTTAAGTTTTCTCAACAGCAAAAAAAGAGCAGAATTTAAAAGAAAAATGTATTTCTATAACTAAGAATAAGACTCATATGAAGAACGTCTGGACTTTCTCTTATATATTACCAGAGGTAACTATTTAGAGGTAACTAAACATGAAGTACCTGGTCCCTCCCACTACAAAAATAAAAACAAAAGCAAATGCCCACCCATAAAAACAAACCAACAAAGCAAAAAACTCCCCAACCAACAAAAAAACCTAAACATCAAGACCAAACCAACCAAACAAAAACCACAAATAACCCAAACCCATACCCAACCTTTCATGGGAAAAACAAGCACTTCTTTTTTAAGGAAGCTCCTCTTTGGACACATCATTGAAGAACAAAAAATATGCAAAAAAATTAAAAGGATTTCTCACCAAAAGAAGAGTGAAATGCTTACAACATTATAATTACATGCAAACATATAATTATAATATTTAAACATATAATTACAATTATATGCAATGATCATACCAACACTGCAATCAGTTTTTCAGTTGCTGGGATACAGCATTCAATCAGAAAATCCTCTTATGAGCAATTAATTTATTTATTATTCTTACCTTTATCTCATGTATTGGGGTACAGCTGTCAATCGGTGAGATCTTTTACACACCCCATTAACTTAAATATTATTTTTACAAAATCAGTTTTCATTTAACTTTGCAACTAACAACTAATAACTTGTTTATTTAGTTTTACCTCACTATGATAAACCTGAAGCAGTTGCAAGGCTTTCTTTGTCACTTAGGCCACAGAAACCAAACATATTTACGTAAGAGGATAATAAAAATAACAAAGCATTCCTGACTGGCTGTTACAACTTTTCAAAATAAAACACACCAGTCAATGAATGTGGGTAGGGGTAAATCCCCCTTAATGGTCTGGATCCTGGGACTGGACAATAAAGTTGTCTGAAAGCAGTTGCCAGTACATCAGCTGATCCAGAGTCTGACCTGCTTTGAGATTCCGGAACAATAGCAAACTGTCACTTTTTTTTTCATTAAATGGGATTGTTTGCATGCTCCCCTCCTCTAGGTCCAATCCAATGGCTTTTAATTATTAACAGAGGTGCTTTTCTTCCTCTTCTTGTTTATTTAATGACACATGGTCAATTTCTCTCAGATGTTGCCATTCCCCGTGAATAGTTGGTTCACCTTTATTTACTTTAGTGCCCAATTAATAAATTTAAGGTCAGGAGCTGACCACCAGAAGACAATGCCACTGGTATTTACACCTCCCTTTAGCTTACCTGCGTCATCTAGGTCTAGATCATCTAGACCACCCTAAAGCCCTTCCACATATAGACACCCCTGCAATCGACTCTCCAATCCTGTGAGCATCACAATGTTTGAAGTTACACATTCCTGTACTATCCCCACAAAAAAAGTTTACACTACTACAACACACTGACCTTCATCCTTTGACGTGGGTATTGCTCAGATCATACACAATATTCTCAAAATATCACCTCAATAAATTTGGACAAGGAACCATACACTAGAATTTGTGTGAGGTCAAAGCAGTAATTCTCATCTTCATGGAGAAGAAAGTAAAAAGCAACAATAACAAAGCTGAGGCCAAAGGAATAATCACCCCACTACAAGATGAATCATACTACACCAGTAGGATGGACAATGTCATATAGGCTTTTCAAGTCCTGAGGCCAGTCACAGAGAATTTGAACACCAGAGATAGAGATCACCATCATCAGGTAAGGCCACAGAAATTTACTCTCACCAGCAGATACGAAGGTTTAGATAACTACACAGATTAATCCACTTACAGTGCTCTTCTCACACTTCTTTTGTTTTTATTGGGTATGAAAGGATTGCATTTCTCTTTGCCCTAGTACCCTTTGGCACCAGCCCAATATGTGTCTCATACATAGTTACAATCTGTTCTTGTCATTTTCCACATTTCCGTATTCCATACTGCCTTATTCTGCTAGCACTATTCAACACAATCCAAATACATTGTGAAGGATTTTATTCACTGTCTCGTAGTAAAGCAGATCAAAGCTTGATACTCTAATTCCCCACTCATATTCTAAGTCTTCAATAAAACATGGTTATATCAACAGATGTTGATGAGTAAGTGTCTATCACTTGTACTTCCATCAAGCCTACAGACTTCTTGCTCATACTGTGAAAGATTCACATTCTCTTAGATCTCTAAGTAGTTGTATCAGGCAAGAGCTCATGCCAATGAAACAGTAATTTTGTTTTACTGAACTTGGCTAAAACAAATAAGGCAATCATTATATATGACAAATACTGTCTGTGTTACAGAAATGTATGGGTCAGTGTTTTGAAATAAAATTAAATATCTCCTTTTCCTCCCAGGCATTTACAGCTCATCAGACAACACTGGTTTTTACTGATTATTGTACTAGAAATCCAAAATCTAAGTCCATGAAAAAACGCATGTTTTCTGTATTGAACTACGGTATCCCTCTTTAGAACCTGGGCAAGTTTACCCTATTCCAAACAGAGACCCTTTTGTATATACCCAAAATACTGTCCATGAAAACAGCTCCCTCAATCTGCAGTTCCCTGGAAAAGAGGATAACATTTCTTACTCTCTCAAGAGCTCCCCCAAACACACTTTTAGGTGGCATCTCAAAAAATGCCTATCTAATTTGGAAATATGCTTTTAATAGGAAGACAACAAGTACCTACATTAACAGGTTATTGGTCTGATTTAGCAGTGTGTTTTTAAAGCCATCCACAGCACCCTACATAGCAGATACTGGATGAAAAGTGAAAGGATAAGACAGAGACCTTCAGGACACTCTGGACTGAAGGATGACCTGTAACCAATATCTACCTCTCACTTGCAAACTCCAAAATGTATAATATTTAGCATATCCAAAGAATTTCTGGGCAGTTTTTTGGTAGTATTTGTCTTTGATTGTGCTAGAATGGATTTGTCCAGGACTTAAACAAGAGATCTGATTTTCCCAAGACAAAACTTGAGACAGTGTTTTCCAACAGGAAAATATTTGTAAACTTCAAACACATTTCTACCCCTCAAAGCATCAAAGCAGGCACATCAGTGGCCAAGATGATTTCTTAGAATAAGTACAAACTCTGGATATGGCTTGCTTCTTGCATTCTGTCTCCTTTGTACAGCTACACAATTCTACCTGCAATCCCAATATCCCAACACCTTCCAAAGAGATCTCATCAAAATAACTTTTTCCTATCAAATTTTATTCATACTTTTTACTCCTGGGGCAATATTTCATATGAATGAGCAATGGTTTTCCAACACTGATCTCCAAATACTGTGGAATACAAAGTAAAAAAGTGGGAACTTCAGCTTCATAAACAGCTTTGTACCTATAGCACAGCTGAGTATGACATTGTCTGCTAGTTAACAGAGCCCTGTTGTTGCTTAGTACATCTCTCAGTATTTCTACAAACCTTTTGAGTTCTGCAGCTTCTACAGAGGAAGTCCTGGGCTTCTTTTTCCAAGACCCATTAGCAGAAACCATAATATAAATTTCAGCCTGCCAAACACATATGCTACCACTCTTCTCAACCCACTTCAGCAGCTGAACACACAGTTTTTTGAAGCCATACAGGCAACATTGTGTATTCCTTAAGAAACAAGAGGGAGGCAAGTTCAGCAAGTGCCAATATGGGAGACACTTCAGAGATCTGCAATGGGCCAGCTGAAGGTGCAAAATCTCCTGCAAGCTAGCACTCACAAGATGTGCACCAGATGATAGCGTGGTTAAATGTGTGTGTTTAGGACTGTGGATTAAAGCAATGCATAAGATTTCACAGGGTAATGCTCAAAGAGCTTCCAGCTAAAGCACAGGAATATGTAGATACCATGTGCTCCAGCATTGTGGAACAGCCCCGTGCATGCCCAAGAATAAACACTCTCTTGCACCTATAAAATTTAGTGGCACATGGGCACCTTTCTGCACAACTCTCAGCATCTGTATTTCCTAACTCCTAAAGTACTGTCATACACCTTGGTAGATACAGAGCAGATGCATTGCTCTGGAAAGAGATGTGGCAGAACATCGAGCTGTTTAACTGCTGGTGATCAACCCAGGATAAACTTCTGTGTGCACTGGAATAAAAAACTTCTACAAGTCTATATGCATCACAAATCCAAGGCTGTTGCTATAACCAGCAACATCTCTACCAACTTTACTCAGTAGTAGTCTCCCTGTCATCTTCATCTGCAAAACCTGTAAAGGTTCTCATCCTTCAGCATGTGGTGGGTACGCTCTCCCCACTGCCTGCTAAACTTTGGAATCTTGGCTAAGTGACATAAAGGAGTGATTGTGCACACATAATCCTTTAGATATAAACAAACAAAGTCCTGGACTAAGAGTGGAACCAGTCATACTTAGATTCCTCTCAGAAAATATGATGAGGACCATATTGACATTTAAATGTTGAATTTCAGTTAGAATATTAGAAAGAATTAAAAATTGTTATATTTTACTTGACTTATAAAACTAAAAAGAAACAGATGCTATATATAAAAAAAAAAATTTTCCTTGAATCCAAGAGTTAAGTTGATTTTCTGGTATGAACCACTTCAAAACAAACAAAGCATCACAAAATGCAGAAAACAGTAGGTTATGGGGCAGTGCACAGCATGCTCATCATAACAGTTAATAATTCTAAGACATTTAAAAGCACTGTTCATTATCGTACATGGATCAAAGATGAAAAAGCAAACAGGACAATTTTAACTGACTTGTGCA